GAAAACATAAGTGAATTTCCCGGTTCAGATGGTTGAAATTTTATTACTACTACGACAAAAATATTGTATGAATGAATAAAGATAAGAAACATAACTTAAATGATAACAGAAGTAATTGTTAATTGAAGATGAGGCTCACAGCACAGACAGCAGTCGGAGCTGTGATGTCAACATTCCAATAATGTTTCAAGTTCATAACAGTGTTGTGAAAGTTCATTTATCCGTATTAACACTTCTTTTAATTGTTCTTATCAAAAAAAATAAAATAATTCGACGTAGACATCTGTAATATAAAGTACTGGAAGAACTTTCATAAAATATAATGATGATTATTATTTGTCGTAAGGCAGCTATCGGTGGGGGTAGCCACCCGATGTTGTTTCCAACATTTCAGGGATATGCGTACGGTTCCCTTCCGATACCTCGTTTATCGGGATGACTATTAATAGACCAGCACGAACACTATCAATTGGCATTGTGCTTCGTAATGACTATCAATCCGGCCCTAAGTGAATAGGAATGTGTCACGAAGTAGCCATCAATTAATGGTTGTAGAATACAGTTTTAGTTTGGGGGTTCTACCACATAACTTAAAGTTAGTCCCTGGGGTTGTCCTCCTTCAGTGTCTCCTAGGGTTAATCTGCTGATCACTAGATATAAATGTCAGCCTTCCTATCACTCTACCCTATCAATATCCAATAAGGGGAACACTGGGGGAGTACACTGAGAAGCTTGATCCATGACTATCCAATCTGCTCTCGGTATGTTGAGGCCAGAGTCTGTTATTTTGAATCCAAGTTAACTTTTATTCAAACTCCTTGTTTTTTCCTCAGTTGCAAGTTATTGATTAGTCTTGAACCCAGGGGAAGAGGGAGGAATTCTGAGCTGTTTGGCTATTAAAAAAAGAAAGAAAAAAGGCTGGGGGTTTGTCAAAACAACTGAATTTTAGTTTATTTGGGAATAAAAGTAATTTCACTGCTGAAACTATCATTTTCTGTAGGTAGTCAGGTAGTCTTTGATTACCTCAGAGTGGCAACCCTGTTTTGCCAGTTAAGAGGGCACTTTGAAGTCCTACATATAATGTTCAGTTCCTACACAGTAAAAGTGGGTTTGCTATAGGAAGGATATACACTATACAGCCATAAAGATTGCTTCAAATTTGTCACTTGGAAACTTGGACACCATGCCATCGAATAATCACATGCAACCAGTATTAGATTTACAAAGGGGCCATTGGGGCCATGGCCCCAGGCCCCAAAGATACAAGGGGCCCTTCCAAAAAATTTCACGTATGTATTATAAAAATTTAATATTTCACCATAATTTTGTGTACAAAAGATATACTGTAGTGACCCCTGTGACCCCTCTAACCTCAACCTTATACAGGGTATTTTGATATCTGTATCGTTATGAAAAATACCAGTTATACAAATATTGAAATGTAAACGAATGCTGAATGTCTTACTTAATTTCAGTGTCTTAGATTACAACTTGCTCCAACAGTTTGATGAAGAGTGTCAGTATTGGCAAAAAGTCCTAAAACATGTAATTGGCCTTTTAAAATTCTTGGCTGTGTGTGGTCTTGCTCTGAGAAGAACAAATGAGCATTTTGGCTCAGGAAATGATAGAAACTTCTTTGGGCTGATTGAACTGCTGGCTTAGTATGACCCCATTTCTTGAAGAACATTTGAAAACACACTGGCAGACCTTCGTATTTGTAAAGAACCATGTATGAAGACTTTATAGATATTATTGGTGACATGGTGCTCTTGTAGATGATGCAAGAGATTAAAGATGCCAGATATTTTTCTTTTTCAGTGGAGTCTGCACCTGATGTCACCTATATAGATAAGCTGACCCTCGTTGTTAGGTATATAAATAGTAAGGGACCTGTTGAGAGATTCATAAAGTATATCCCCTCTTCACTCACATACAGGAGAAAGCATGGCTGAACTTATTCTTGAATTTTTTGCCTCTCGAGGCATTAACATCGGATATTGTCTTGGTCAGTCATATGCTAATGCAGCCAACATGAGTGGAAAGTACCAGGGTTTACCGGCATTGATCAAAAGATAATGCAAGTATGCTGATTGTGTACCATGTGCTGCACATTCACTCATGCTGGTTGGAGAGGTAGCAGGTTCCTGTTGTATTGAAGCTATTAATCTCTTCTCCTTTGTAAATAAGGTCTACACTTTCTTTTCTGTATTCACAAACAGATGGAAAATTTTGACTGACAAAGTGGCTCCACTGGGCCTGAGTGTAGTAAAGCAATACTCAGATACATGCTGGTCAGGCAGACATGATGCAGTCTAAATCCAGCACTGCATGCAACTCATGCAAGTGTGGAAAATGTCTGTAAAATGGTGATGATAATGATGAATTGATGATTCTGTCATTTAGTGGTGACCTGGAATGAAACATCTGCTTCCATAATTCATTAATACAGTAGTGTGCCCAGCTTTATGTCCCTCATCAAATATAATTGGAAGAAATATAACAGAATTCAATCTATCCACTTTTTTGTCTGTCTCCCTGTCTTTGTAAATGATGGTTTTCATTTGATAACTTGATTTTCTGCTCACTGATTAACATGAGAGGTCACTTTTGTATTGCTCATGAGTATAAGGAGGAACTTATTTATTTTAGTTCATACTGTATAAATACGGTGGAGTTTATCTACTATAATTACAGTATACAGTATGTTTACATATTGGTCATTGTACTGTACAGTAGGGGGCAGTGAAATTTTGCTCAAAGCTGCACTCTTCAGGCATTGTTCCTTATACATATCTAAGACTCCATGCCAAATTTGAAGCTGATATGTCGAGGTTTAGTCTGCCGCATTTTCTACTGAAATTTTTAAATTTACCTACAGTACTAGCCAAACAGCCGCTGTGGCGGTGCAATGTTCTGTTCAGTGTTTATCAACTTTTTTTTCATATGTCTTATTTCATTTAAGTTGTCTTGTTGCAGATGAGTATGGTGCTCTGTCTATATTGATTATCAGCCTTTTCTCATTTCATTTCTCAATGTTGTGTGACAGACACCAGTTCACAGAACCGGACAAGACTCCCTACACTGGCTGCCGCTTGTGACCGATACTTGATTAGTAATTATGCTGGAGCTGCCACTGCTACTGCCACCTTAACTGACTATGGCATTATCACAAAGGATGACAAGAGTCAGGTTATTGGACCACATAAGCTGCGGGATGCGAGACAAAAATACCGATTTAAGAGGCAAGAAATTGAGATGGCTAGTTTAGATTATTTGACGTCACTCTATTTTGATGGTAAGAAGACCGCCACTCGTGTGATGATAAAGAATGAGAAGACCGAGAAATGGAGTTCGAGGATGATGGTGAAAGATCATTATGTCATCATGGTTGAGCCTGGCAATGAATATCTCACACATGTGACTCCCAAGACTGGACACGGAAAGCAGATTGCCAAAACTATTCACGAGTTTCTGGTGGAGAAAAATCTAACCCAGCAGCCCATTGTGTGTGTTGGTTGTGATGGAACCAATGTAAATGTAGGATCAGAAAATGGAGTCATTCATCATCTTGAAATGTTACTTGGTCACCCGCTCCATTATTTCATATGTCAGCTTCACGGAAATGAGCTGCCTTTCCGCGCAGTTTTTTATCACTATGATGGTAAACCAAGTGGTCCTGAGCATTGGCGTGGTCCCATTGGAAAGCAGATCAAGGAGTCTTTGTCTGAGCTTCCAGTTGTCGCCTTCCAGCCAGTCAGTTTCCCTGATTTCCCTGTGTTTAATGATGAAGTGGAGAAAGATCTGTCCTGGGATCAGAAATACCTGTATAGGATTTGTAAAGGAGTTATCACAGGTGTTGTTGAAGATGACTTGGCTGCTATTGAGCCAGGTCCTCCCTGTGTGTCAAGGTGGAACACCTTATGGAGTAGAATCCTCAGGCTGTATGTAGCAACATCAAGACCCAGCCATGAGTTGAAAAGAATTGTCATTACAATAATAAAGTTCAGTGCTCCAATGTGGTTTTACATCAAGATACACCCTTATGTAACACACGGCTCAAGGAACGTATTCCAGTCCCTGCTATATATGAAACACCTGAATAGTGAGGAGGAGACGATAGTGAAGAAGGCTGTCCAGAGAAATGCATACTTCGCCCACACAGATCAACTTCTTCTTGGTATGTGTGCAGATGAGGACATGACTGTTAGAGAAAAAGCTGTCTCAATGATAAGAAAAATTAGAGAGGAGAATCAGCAAAAGGAAGAATGCACTGGCAGATCTGAAGAGGAGGAGGAAGATTCTGATGCTGCTGTTGACGAGAATTTGTTAAACTATACTGATGAGGAGGGTAAAGATGGAGATGGGAATGAGGATGTGCCTCCTGTAGTCAACATGAGAAAGATGGTGACTCCGAAACTAAAGTGGCAAGCAAAAAACTATCATTCCATGATTAACTGGAGGAATGAACTCAAGACTGAGCCTCCTTACATTGCTTCTCTGTCAAATCTACAGGTTAATGACATTCTTGAGACACCATTAGTGGTGCCCAAGTGGCCAAACAGCACTCAGGCAGTCGAGAGAGGCATAAAAGTGATGACTGAAGTGCACTGAAGTGACGGGATACGAATCGAGAGATGGATATATTAGGCAAAGATTATTGTCTAGGAAAATGATGCCAAGGTTCCGCACAAAAAAGAATTTCAATATGAACTTGTAATGATTTTCTATACGGTGTACCTGTACATGTGAATTAAATCGATGTCACCCATGTAAAATTTATCATTATCCTGGAAAACATTAAATGACACCTAATTTATGGTATACACTAAAAGTTGACAAAAAGTCGTTCGCGATGCGGCAGGGTAAGTATGCATGAAATGGCATGAAATTTTGCACAGGTGTTTGTTACAGCCATACAAACGATGCCTGAAAAGTGCAGCCTGCAACTCAAATAAAAGTGTTTTTTCCCTGCCCCCTACTGTACAGTATATTTCTTCCAGAAAACTCGCAGGCCGTACGTTGTTTATCACCGGAGCCAGTAGAGGTATTGGTAAAGCCATTGCCCTCAAAGCTGCTCGAGATGGGGCCAACATTGTAGTGGCTGCGAAAACTGCAGATCCTCATCCAAAACTTCCTGGAACCATCTTCACTGCTGCTAAGGAGAGTAAGTACAAAATTAACACTGCTAGTGTGTACAGCTCCTCCCCGAATTACGACCTACTCGACTTATGACCACCCGCACTGATGACCTGTCTCAGTCGTACCAAAATTTTGTCAAATTACGTATTTTCGAGTCCCAACGTCAGTACACAGAGAAAATTTTCGTTTGTAATTCGCTTTAAAATGACTGGCAAGCTTAAAAGTGAGAGTTTTGTGGTGCTGAGAAGAAAAAGAGACACCCATTTTAGATTTTCTATGTACAGAGGTATTATTTAAGCATTTTCGACTAACGACCATTTTGACTTACGACCTGGACTTGGGTCCCTAACCCCGTAGTAAGTCAGGGAGGAGCTGTATATAATAACTATAATATTAATTATCACCTCTATTTACTTCCTACCAATTATTAAGGGTCCTGGCAAACCTTGTCATTACTATAGGGTTTTGATAATTTTAATGGCATGAAAGACTGCCGAGACAGACAATGTTTGGTTTTGTTGATCAACTCACTGTTCACGGAACCTGGTATAAATCATGATTCAGATTTCTGGTCGAGCTGTTGCTTTGAAGATTAGGTACATCATGTTGAAACTGTGGGAATATTAAGAGGTTCATGTGTGTATTAAAACACTGCAACCATACAGAGCGGTCCATTCTTTGATCCTCTCGGATTCTTGCTATGCTCCCCACCATCAACAGCTCCTGGCCTCCAAAACAGTCTCCATGGGATGAACACTGAGAAGGATAAGATGTTTGACTGTGTTATTGTATTTTACTGCTATGTTATTGAATTTGTATAATGCAATAAGATAACTGGTAATAGAATGTCAAATACAGTACATGTACGTACCTCTGTTTTAGCAAGTAAAAAAAATGTTTTTGTGTGTTCTACTTTGACACTTTTGATGCATCAAGAGGAAAGGATATTAGAACAGAACTCGCATTCAATATGTACCTGTTATTCTGCATAGTTTATGTAAGTAAGACAGTGCACAGTGACAGAGTCAAGTGCGCAACGACAGAGTAACCAAGTGAACCGTAACAGTAGCCAAGTGCAGAGACAGTAGCCAAGTGCATAGTGGCAGTAGCCAAGTGCACAGTGACAGTAGCCTAGTGCACAGTAATAGAGAAGCCAAGTGCACAGTGACAGTAGCTTAATGCACAGTAACAGAGTTGCCAAGTGCACAGAGACAGTAGCCAAGTGCATAGTGACAGTAGCCTAGTGCTCAGTGACAGAGTAGTCAAGTGCACAGTGACAGTAGCCTAGTGCACAGTGACAGAGTATCCAAGTGCACAGTGACAGTAGCCTAGTGCACAGTGACAGCAGCCTAGTGCACAGTGACAGTAGCCAGTCTTATGAGCAAACTGAAATTTGGACATTTAAGTTCATGTGTGTGAAAGTGAAGAAGTACATAACCCCCCAAAAGTTTTATCAGTGTCTGACACAATGGATCTTCAGTAATGAATAGTTATCTGAAGAAGCCAGTGATGCTTTATGTTCTTTGGGATGGAAACCAGTACAGAGGTGTTGACTGGAGCTGGTTCTTGTTTAGGAAATAATTTTTTCTCTCAGACTATGTTATCATATTAGTTCAGTACATGTACAGTGTTTTTTGTCAGATCTGAGATTATTTTGAAACTGTTATAAGACATCTTACCAGCCTCATCAGGTCATACCAGCATGCAACAGTGGCCTTATGGCATGTAGAGTGATTGACAGAAGGTAGTTTTATATGTTTTCACATGAAATAAACATGGGAAGGTAAGAGAAGGGGGATGCATTATATTCCTGATTGTAATACAGTAAGTTGATGCATCAGTTTTATTGGAAGATAGTCTTAAGAGGGCTACTAGAAGGAATCTCTAGTCTAGGGGTCACACTCACAAGAAGTGACACAGGTTGCTCTCTCAGACAGCTGATCCCAGGTGCTGCTTTAGGAGTTTACTTTCAATGGGAATTCTTAATACATGTACTTTGCTTTTGTATACAGTACAGGGTATTCACTTTACCCTCATATGTCTCTAAAGTTTTGTTTACATGAAAAAGCAAATAAATGGACAGTGTAAATGCAAGTATTTATCCACTACAGTTGAATTGGCAGGAGGACAAGCCCTCCCATGTGTAGTGGACGTGCGGGATGAGGGATCTGTGCAGCAGGCCATAGATAATGCCATACAGCAGTTTGGTGGCATCGATGTTGTTGTGAACAATGCCAGCGCCATCTCCCTCACAGGAACCCAGGAGACTTCCATGAAAAAATATGATCTCATGCATCACATTAATACCAGAGGAACCTACCTTGTGTAAGAGATGCATACATTTGTTATCACTGTACAGTCTCTAGATTCTAGATACTGTATACATCATGTATTGGTTATTATTTTTCTTTTTAAGTTAATACAGGGTACAGTACTTAATAATCGTGAAGTTCTGAGACCCATTCATTACTATGTCAGTTACTTTATCAGTGATGGAGGTTATTTAAGACTTACAATTTTGTCTCTAGTCTGTTTATTCAGACTTAGTATTGCAGGGTGATAAATAATGGGTGACAGGTTACCTTATAGCTTCTTTTCTTTTTATGTGTTTGTAACCTCATGGCATAACAAAATACATTTCATGAAACAAGTTTCACAATTACCAACTTCTGTACAAGTTCACCAACCTTCACAGGATTTTGTATGTAAGTTCATATACCCACAATTTTAGTTAAATGTGTCAGCAGGAGGTTCATCACTTATCTATACAATCCATTTTGACAACAATTTTCTCTACAGAGCAAGTTTTCTGTTCTTGTTCTTATCTTGCCCCAGTGATGTAATCCAAGACATTGATGCTTCAGTTATTGACACAATCCATTTCCTTCATGATCCTCCTTCCTCATCTTACCACTTAAGGTTCAGTATCATAAATCCTCTTCACAGACTTTTCATACGACAGGAGGCACTCGAGGTGAGAAATAGAGAAATAGAGAAGTGACAAATGTAAAACAAAACAAAAACTGGAAGCACATTTAATGGTTAGCAATTTTGAAATAAGTATAAACATATAAGAAACACTTCTCAACCTGTTTGTTGCTCTTCATGGTCTAGGCTGGAGTGCCTCATATATCAGTTCTTTTCCTTAGATATTGTTTGTAAATGTCTTTTAAATATTAGAAGTGTGTAGTTTATTGTGTAATTTAAACTTTGTATCTTCTTGCAGATCCAAGTCATGCATTCCACACTTGTTAAAGAGTCCAAACCCACACATCTTGAATATATCTCCTCCTCTCAACATGAGGCCACGCTGGTTCCAGAACCATGTTGCTTACACCATGGCCAAGTATGGAATGTCTATGTGTGTGCTAGGCATGGCTGAAGAATTCAGAGATAATGGCATTGCATGTAATGCACTATGGCCACGTACTGGTAAGATTTTCTTATAGTTATTTGATGCTCTTCTGGTCATTGATGTTTAAGCTTCAAAGTAATGCAGGAATGGAGTGAATATTTTTTACAAGTCCTAAATGTAATGGCTGAAAAGGGGGCAGAGTTAGCCTATGTGTTTTGGAGAGAATTGAAGAGTTTAAAGACTAAAAGAAAATAGGGTAAGTGTTGAAGAGGTGAAACTGACTACCAAGCAAGCTTTAATAGGAGTAAGACACCAGGCCGGGATGGCGTCACTGTAGGAATGTTGAAAAGGGGGGGGTGAAAAGCAAGAAAATGGGTGATGATTGTACAGTGGGCACGATAATAATGAGTATAGTCCCCTGTTCACAGGGAAAGATGATAAGAGTGATTGTAAAAATTATAAATGAATTGGTTTAAGCACATTTAAGGTGTATGATAGGGTCCTCCTTGAGTGAATTGTGGTTCATTCAAGTGTATGTTAGGAGAAGAACAGTGTGTGTTATGAAGGGAAGAGGATGTGTGGTAAGATGTATAATTGAAAAATGTCTGGAGAAAATGAAGAATCTTTGTGTTATCTATACTGTACTGTATTGATCTGGAAAAGCATAAGTTTAATTAAACTTTATTGAAAAACAGTGAGGGAAATAATGAGTGTTTGGTATAAAAATATTAATATCCCCGTTAGCCAGAATCTTCGATCCATAGAACTCTCCAATAACCGGGGGAAAAAATTGTGGTTTCTGAAAAATTCCAGGAAAAATCTCCATTTCGGGCATGGGAACTAGTTTCCGAGGATGGAATCACTTGCATTTCGGGAAAATTCTGAGGAAATTCCGAGAAAATCTCTGTTCTGGGCATGGGAATGAAATTCTGCATCATGTTTACAACATGAGGAAACGTTCCGGTAGCATGGGTGGGTAGGCTCAGAGTGCTCGTGAGCTACAATTGGCTACTATTGATGTGTATCACAGCCTATCTCCTCAAACTCTTGTATCATAACATTCTTAGTTTATTGTTAGCTGCCATTGTTCAAGTTTGTTTGCTCACTCACTGCTGTTTTTGCATATGATCTGTGTTGTGAAGTACTGTATTGTACATTACTTTACCAGCATATAATCACCCAAGAATACCATTCAAGCAGTGTTAATACATAAAAAGTTATTACAATTATGTGCTGTACATTTAGTAAGGGTGATAGTACTGTACATAGCAGAGTGGACAGTGTATGCTAGTGTGTAGAGGGTGTATGTACATTATATAGTGCATGTACAATTCCTCCTTCATAGAAGAAGAGGAGAGTGACAGTTAGCAACACCTGCTACAGTAGTTGGTACAGGACAAAGGCACTTTAAGGCAAGTCATCCTTTATCATCATATCACCATTTAGCCTGCCTATATCACAAGTTCAAGACGACAGCATCCTCTGGCAAGTACAATATACCTGTGTACAGTACAGATATCCCCTGATTTAAAATGGAGTTACATTCCTAAAAACCCCATCGCAAATTGAAATATCGTAAATCGGGATCATTTTAACATGGGGTTCAATGGGATACGTTCCCAGCCAGTCTGACGCCCACATGTATTGTACAGTATTACAGAAAAAAGAATCCTATACTAATAAAATAACTAAAAATCAATTAAATAACGCTCGCCACATCATTAAGAACAAGCCTGGCCACTTCACAATGTCAAGCTTCATCTCTAGAGACAAGGTTTTCCTGAGTGCCTTGGCCTTCACAGGTGCAGGATCCTTCAGCAACAGCTTACTAGACATTTTTAAAGTGTAAATAAATAAAGATCTGTCTGTCCGTGTGTGATGCATAATGTAGACTCGAGGAAAACTTTCCCTAGCACCATGAAAAATTCTGAGGGTGTGTGATTTTTTCCAGGGAGGAGAAATCCGTCTCCATACCCAGAAATCTCTCATTCCCGAAAGAGTTCTGCACCAGTTATTCTGGCTAATGGGGATGTCACACAGTATATAATAATTTGTTGAATTCTGGTTTTTAATGACAGAAAGATTACATTAACCATGGTGTTAGCCAGAACAAAATACAGTCAGTCCTCGACTTATGACTGGGTTAGGGACCGACAACCAGGTCATAAGTCGAATTGGTCGTAAGTCGAAAATGCGAAAATAATACATAGAAAATCTAAAATGGGTGTGTCTTTTTCTTATCAGCACCACGAAAACTCTCACTTTTACTGCAGCAGTCTTATGTCCGGGTGGTCGTAAGTTGAGGAGTACCTGTACACTACCAAAGGGATACTTTGGTATTGTTTCCATAGTTTTTCATTATTTCATGGATGTAGTAGTCAGAGAGAAAAGTGTGATTTTACAGGCTAGGACAGACACTGGAGTCATATTTCTCTGTTCCTTGGAATTATTTTCTCTGATAATTCTGTTTTACTGCTGAACACATCACCCAGACCCTGATGGAGGAATTCATACATAATATAAAATGTTTCGACTCCCCAAATGGTTCAGTTGTTGCTACATTTCAGCTGTAGCTAATAAGAAAAAACCTATACAATTCCAGTCCATTTGAACAAGCACTCATTAACTGCAATCATGTAATAGATTGTGCTAAAACAATTAAGTTACCCAAATCAAACTCTGCTTAAAGTATCATCCAATATGCTGAACAACCCAAACAATAGCACACTATTTTGGTCCTCTAGTAATGGTTTGACCTCTAACTTCAGCAACCACTTGTCCATTCCTCCTCTCAAATTATCTGGAGGCAAGCTATTTCTGCCTCTTATTTAACCCTGCAGGAGGAGGGGCAGATGATCCTCTGCTGGATCTGAAAGGGCATGAAACTTTGAACATAAAAATTTGAAGAAAAAAATTGTGGACATAATAAAAACCACTAATGTTCCAGGTTTGGAAACTATTGCCCCACATTCCCGAAGTTCCTCATAGGTTTTTTCCATTTTGTCCAAACAGTTCATATTTCAGTCTGTCCCTCTTTATGGAAAGGTGTCATCACTTATTCATCTCCAAAGAAAGGTGATAAATCCAATCCACCAGATAAATTGCTAAATTTCCAGCACCTTAACAAGACCTAAGATCTTTTAAATGGTAATAAATATCATGTTCTCGATCACCTTCAAAATAATAATTAACTCGGTGAATGGCAGTGTAGCTTCTGCAGGGGGCACTTTGTTGCTCATCTTCTTTCTTATACTGTACTTTCAATCAACCAGTCAATAGACAAAAATGGTGAAACCCATGCAGTGGCTCTTGACACCTATAAAGCTCTTGACACTTTAACAATGAACCTCACTTGAAAATTTGATCTGGTGACCTTTTTTTTTTTTAGTCCCTTTAATTGTTATTTTTCTTCTCTCTAAAGTCTTCTCTCTATCTGTCTGTCAGTTTTAATGCTTCTCTAGGTTCTCCACCAATTCATTTTCTTATATAAATTAATGATCATCTTTCATGTACAAGTAACACAATCCCAAACAATAACTCATATATTTTCACACCATTTTTATATACAGTACTGTATTTCAGCAATCATCACAGCAGCCATGGAAATGTTAGGTGGTAGTGGCATTGATAAACAGTGCAGAAAGCCAGAAATTATGGCTGATGCTGCTTATGTCATGCTGTGCAAGGACTCCAAATCATACACTGGAAAATTTGCTGTGGATGATGACGTCTTAAAAGCTGAGGGAGTCACAGATTTAGACTCATATGCTGTTGATCCAAGTAAGTAGTGCTTCTATAACTAGTGTATATATTGTAGGAATTTTCATGTTTTCAAAGCAGATTGCCAGCATGTAGGTGTCTGCCAAGATTTTATATTTATTTTAAATAGAAGTGAATAAAGATTCATCAGATTACAAGATGTTAGTAAAAGGATGTCCACACTTAACTTGGAATTGATTACAAACTCTTTTGTTTTCCTAATATTTTTAAAACTTGTCATTTGGGTTATACTGTAAATCCATATGAAAGTCCCACATGTGGTTTATCTTTGTCATTTCACACAACCAGACCTTTTTCAATTACATGTGCACCAAAAAAAAAAAGGTTTTATTTTAGCTTGTTTTGGGGGAGATTTTTTTTTCCATAGGAACACATCTTCATTTATATAATGGAAGTTTATGGGAAAATAGGTTTAAAGTTGTGGACTATTGACAGAGCTGACCCTAGGGGATGCAGGCCCTCTTTAGGCCATCTGCATTACCGTATCCACTAATATATATACTGTACATATATGTAGAGCATGCATGCATGCATACATACAAATACAATATCATGCAGTCATAAAACTAAAGGAAAAGTTAAATTTCCTGGTTTATTGGAATAATTACTGTAACCGCTCATCGGAGCGATTGTGGCTGTACAGGATAATAACACCCTCTACGTTGAAACAACGAATATAATTTGTCCAAAACCTGTTGAATACATCTTACATGTAACAACTGCTGATACATCAGGACACACAATTTGAATAATATGATCAATGTACAGCACATAACTACAGTAATATCTCCGTTAGCCGGAATCCCTCAAACCCAGAACTCTTTGATAGCCGGAATTGAAATTTGCCCCGAAAATCATTCAAAGCTGGAATTTTCCAAAAATTTCCGACTTTAGGAACAAATTTTCCGAGGTTGAACATCGAGAGAATGGACGAGTTGACGGTTGGAATTTTTTCGTAAGATGGCAGGTCAATGGGTAAAGAAAACACTTAAATTTACTATGATAATGATATTTTTTTAAATAAGTTGGGCCAAAAAGTCTCAAAAATAAGGGTTAAAGTTGCTTAAAAGTCACGTGACTGAGAAAAGCTCTGTGACTGGTTGTGATGTCACTGGTAGCGTCGAGCCGCCCTGCGGGAGGCAGCCAGCTGTGGTGTATGTGTTGTTACCAGCAGAAATACGGGACTTGTGGCCATATACAATGTTGATATACATAGGCATATCCTTATTTTTAGGTTAAAATAAATTACTGCTCAAGTATTCATCGTGTGTATTTACTGGTTGGGTGCCAAAATGATGCAAAAGACCGATAACTCCAACATGAAAGTTTTCATCACTGTTCTCTATTTCATGTCTGGAAAATGTAAGTTTTCGTCACTGATGTCTGTATTTAATGTTGTGGAAGGACTAGGGACGACCATGGCCAGGGGATGGGTTTGAGATGATCAGATGACAGATGTAATTTAACGTGCTTCATAGCTGGATGGCGGAGTTCTTGATATTACTCTACAATCATAAAGACATCTACTTTGGGTAAATTTCTTTCATCTGCCTTGATGAACCCTGGAAGTAGTTGACCAACCTTCTCTGCTGATCGGGTCTGTAAATAAATATTATTAAATAATTATGTATTGATTATAATTAATTGTGTTTTACTGTTCAACATAGTTATACTATTTTGATTATATAAATATTACTAAGCACACATTAGCTAATTCAATGGATATTAGCTTACACTACTACAAATTTCATAGTACAGTATAAACATTCCAAACAATATTGGTATTATTTTGGTTTTGGTCATCTGGGGAACCTTAAAATTCTAAGTATAGGATTAAATACTTTAAGCAATAACACAAATTATCTCTACGGGATTTCTGTCGTGAAACATTTTTTGATCGCATAAGAAAATACAGGTCTTAGGTTAGGTTATTGTATGATTAGTTATAAGGTTAGCTTAACATACATCGGGTGGGGGGGGTTAGTAACTCAAAACTTGTGATTTCCGATAAAAATGAAGGTCTAAATCGTTCATAACACATCACGAATCATCAGACAAAAAAACATTCTGCATGTCTTAGTACAGGGATGACCAAAACTTAAAATTTACCCAATATAGCCAATCTCGAATCTAAGCATTTAAATACTTATGGTAGTTAAAGTAAAATTTTACCCATTAATTAATATAAATAATGATATATCCCAGTGGTTCATTAGTGAATTATCAAAACAATAAAATCACCATGTTGTCATGTTAACTAGCATCAGGCATTCTCCAAACAAAGTCCAGACAATGTCATTACTTCTAAATTAACTCGTATCTCCATCTAGAACTGATATACGTACTCTGTACATGCACTGAAAAAAAAAGAAGAGAAAGTGTACCAGGTAAGAAAACATGACAGCTGAGCTGGTGTGAACATGGAAGTTTTTTATGTCCATAAGAATGGAGGAAACTGCAGCGGGCCTATTGGCCCATACTGAGCAGTCTCATTTACATCCAACCCCTTTCGCTCATATATCCATCTAACCTATGTTTGAAGCAGCTCTTCACGGCACATTTCTTCTCTTAGGAAATGTCCATGACTTGGATCATAAAAAAACACCCTTAAAACTTACCTGAACATGTCATTTGGGGTCTAAAGTGGCCATCCTTTGTACACCTACGACTGCAGCTGTGAGTTTGATAAAAAGTGCCGTCTGCAGGGTGAGTGGTGACGTCATTGCAAATGGCGACCCTGTTTCTAGAGAAATTAACTTATCTCTACTATTATAGCAGGACTTTAAACTTTTATTGCAAATTATATACAGTCAACCCTCGCTTTACGCTGTCCCACATTCCGCGTTTCCATGTTTACGCGGTACCCTGCTGAAACAGGAATGCTCACATTCCGCGGTGCGTGTACCCCTTTACGCGTAGAGCGGCTGGAGAGCCGCGCCATTTTTGGATTCAAACCTGCCGCCATCTCTCCCGCCATCCGCCATGTTGTGTAAGCTGCGCGAGCATGGTGCGCACAAGGTCGCCCAGTCATCAAAACATTACCGAGTTCTTCACCGCCACCCACCACAGCCGGCCCAAGTCAGTGATAGTGATAATTATAGTGAAGATAAGGACTTGTATAGACTTTGAGGGGTTTGACAAAAAGGCCCTGCAAGCCTCTATGGTGGATAGTGATACAATTGATACAAGTGATACAGGTGGGGGCCAATAATCTGCCCTCTGCCTCGGAACCAACCGCCCATTCCCGTGTGCCCAGCCATCTTTTCTACTAATGTAAGTGTTAGAAAACCTAATATTATTGATATTTCTCATAATTATTAATTGTTTGTGCATACCATCATAAAGTTAAGATAATATTTTTACTACAACATAGTTGTGTGTCGTCAAAAAGTGAAGTTTGGGGGTCGGCCCGGACTCTATTTCAATTAATCCCATATGTTATGTTATTCACTTTACGCGTTCCTCACTTTCCGCGGCACCCTGTGGGTTACATTAACCGCGTAAAGTGAGGGTTGACTGTATACCGTATCACTCTACGAACGTGGCAGAGTGTATTTCATGTGTTTACTCAGAACTGTAAAAGCGTTCATTATCTGCAAATGTCTTGAATAAAGACGAAAGTTAAAGTATTTTTGGGGGGGGACGTGATCTGACCTGACCTACTATCAGGTGGAGGTAGGGTGGGGGATTAGTGGTCTCGTATTACTGACCTGATGGAATGTCAGGTCACCCTTTCTTGGGTAGGAGATTAGTGGGTCTCATGACCTGAAGATGTCTTTAGTAAATATGAAAGCTAAAGTATTTTTAGGGAGATTGTTATAAGTATAACTAACAAAAGATTGTACCCCTTCAACATTACATAGCATTTTAAAATATGGAGTGAGAAAGCAAAAAGGTGTGGGTGATTAGTGAGATGGAGTGGAAAGGAGTGGTACCATGCACCAGTATTGCTAAGCAATAAGCTCCTCAACAACTGATCTTTTAATTTGCCTCAATGCAGTCACACTACAAGACCCTAACTGGATGCTTGTTGTCGTAATTCCCGTGTTTTGTGTGTGTGTGTATGTTTTTGTATTTTGTGTGTTTTTTGTGTTGTGTGTGTGTTTTTGTGTGTGTTTTTGTGTGTATATTTTTGTTTGTGTGTTTTTGTTTGTGTGTTTTTGTTTTTATTCGTGTGTTTTTTGTTTGTGTTTTTTGTTTGTGTTTTGTGTGTGTGTTTTGTGTGTGTGTTTTGTGTGTGTGTTTTGTGTGTGTGTTTTGTGTGTGTGTTTTGTGTGTGTGTTTTTTTTTGTGTGTGTGTTTTTGTGTGTGTTTTGTGTGTGTGTTTTGTGTGTGTTTTGTGTGTGTGTGTGTGTGTGTGTGTGTGTGTGTGTGTGTTTGTGTTTGTGTGTGTTTTGTGTGTGTGTGTGTTTGTGTGTGTGTGTGTGTGTGTGTGTGTGTGTGTGTGTGTGTGTGTGTGTGTGTGTGTGTGTGTTTTATGTGTGTGTGTGTTTTAATAATAATAATAATAATAATAATAATAATAATAATTAACGGTTTATTGAAAAAGTTCTGCAGCCCGAAGGCTGAAAATATACATTGGACATAAATGACTTATTACATACATTGGTGGTTTAACAAAAGCCTTCATTAGAGAAAGGTGAAGGAACATACAGTGAACAAACAGATTAATGTAGGTGTTCAACAGCAAACACGTAGTGTAGTAACTCCCTCCCAGATGGTGTTAGGAGGGACCTCACGTGGTGTAGTAGTTCCCTCACAGATGGTGTTGTGAGGGGCCTCACGTGGTGTAGTAATTCCCTCACAGATGGTGTTATGCGGGCCTCACGTGGTGTAGTAATTCCCTCACAGCTGGTGTTATGAGGGGCCTCACGTGGTGTAGTAATTCCCTCACAGATGGTGTTATGAGGGGCCTCACGTGGTGTAGTAATTCCCTCACAGATGGTGTTATGAGGGGCCTCACGTGGTGTAGTAATTCCCTCACAGATGGTATTATGAGG